AGTCAAAGAAAGAGTTAGTCAGGATATATGAGGTAGTCAAAGAAAGAGTTAGCAAAGAAACAAGGTAGTCAAAGAAAGAGTTGGTGAGGAAAAGAGTTAGTCACAGAAAGAGTTAGCAAAGAAATTGTTCCCTCACTGTAAATGGCATTGCAAGTGGTGCTGGTGGAGGAGTTGCCGATGGAGTTTTGGAGGAAGTCTCGCACGAAATGCGTTTTTGAGAGATAGCAGATGCACGAAACCCTATGTTTTTCCATACAAAGTCCGTCCCCGAACCTCGATGATCTACCTCTGCGGTGCGACGGTTGCGAGACGGTCTCGTGTGTGGTCGGATCATGCTCGGATCATGGGCGGATATGGTCGGATCGGTTCCGCATTGTAAATGGGGTGTCAACAGTTTTTCGTGCATGTGTGGTCGACAGAATTCCATTGTGATTTGCAACTGTAGGATCGTTCCCGCATTGTAAATGGGGTTGCAAGTGGTGCTGGTGGATGAGTTGCCGATAGAATTCCATTGTGATTTGCAACTCTACTTTGCATCCTCGGGGAACTTATGGAGTTATATAGAAGTTAAAAGGTAAGTTATCAGAGGATAACTTATGTTTTAAGTTGTTAACTTCGATATAACTTCCTCAAAAAAAAATGGAACTTAGCAAATAGTTATCTAGTTATAAGTTAGTTAGGGTTTATATAACATGACCGTCGTTAGAAGTTATTTGGAAGTTAAGTTAGTTATGTTTTTCGGGTTTTTTTGCATGTTGTGTTTTCCGGTGGAAAAATTGATGTTGAATTGACATGTTTTCATGGTTTGGCTCAATGGCATGATATCGCCCGTTTTGGTTAGTTTTGTAACTGCAATGGAGAAACATTTGCAGGCGACGCAGAGGTTTCTGAAAGGTCTTGCCTCTTTGCCCACTTTTGCGGAAGTGAAGGCGAGGCAGCTGAAGCACCTGAGAGGTGTCATAGAGAAAGCAGCCTCGCAAGGCACTGCTGCGGTGGCTGATCTAGTTGCAAGTCTGGATCCGACAATATGGAATCCAGAAGAACTAGAGACTTTGAAGCATGCCTTGGCCGATAAGGTATCCGACGGAAAAGAGAGGCGCAAAATGCAAGACTTCACTGCATTTCCGCGTTATCTTCCAGAGCATGTCTGGAATCGTTTGTTGACAAGCAGCAACCAGAAGGATCGGTTGGAGTCCTTGGTAAAATTTTGCATTTCCTTAGGAATGCGATGCCCAAGTGAGCCAACGATCGGTGGTTTAGTTTGGCTGTCAACATGTGCGTTGAGAACGCAGGAGATCAGTGAAAGCGAGAAGGTGCTTGCATTGAAAGAATCGAAGCCAAACATTCGACGTTGGTTGGCCAATTTGGCTTCTCCGGCAGTGTATCTGCAGGTATTGCCGACGAATGTGGCCGATTGCCCCGCCGAGCTCATGCAGGTGGCATTTCCTCAGGGATTTGAGTCGTATACTCCGCCTGGCTTCCAGCTGGCGCATTACGAGGAAGTCGTGCGGCGATTTCCGTTGCGTCGTCGCGAGGGCGAGGATGGCAAGGGGGGTGCCGCTGGCATGTCGGGTGAGTATACGCACATCTTGGGGAAATTGTTTGCTGGCGCGGTCGAAGGGGTGTTGGCTCGCTCTGGCTCAGTGTCCTCTGCGGGAGGATCATCACTGGCTGAGAGCCAATCGAATCGGTTGCCGTTGCAGGACGGCACCTCGCCAGCACCTTCTGCTGAGCCGGCTCTGCGTGCGGGACAGAGTGTGCCAGCGGGGCCAAGCCTGTCTGCGGGACAGGGATCCATGCCGCTTTTGGCTTTGGAGGATGCACCGCGCGTGGATGGGCAGTTCTGCGCTGCTCTTTCCGGTGCTTCCGAGGCACCAACTGTGGAGTCGCAATTGAAGTGTCTGCAAGACGCTCTGCATGCGCCTCCTGCGGAGGGTGCAGATCTTCCGGATGATATTAAAAAACGGCCGGCTTCCAAGCAAAAGGTTTCTAAGAAGAATGCCGCAACGGGTCCTTCAGGCTCTGCGGGAGCAAAGAAGCGCCCGGCGGCTCGGGAGGAGGCTGCGCGTGGTGCCGTTGGGTCTGCGGGATCCAAGAAGCGGCCGGGTGCCTGCGAGGCATCAATGGCATCTTTGCCGCACGCAAACGCTGCTTCTGCAGCTGGGTCTGTGCGATCCAAACAGAAGTTGGCGAGCAAAGCAAAGGCTAAACCGAAGTCAACCCGTGCAAAGGCAGGACAGAAGGCAAAGCGCGTGCAAGGCAAGGACGCATATCGAAAGAGGTTGCTAGCCTCCGTGCCGTCCGCCTTGAAGAAAAGCTTTGCCCAGGGCTGTTCAACCTGTCGATATAGACCCTTCTGTTGCAACTCATGTTGGTTTAAACGCGGTTTTCGGGTGTAGGTTTTTTTCCTCTTAGGACAGCTTCGAACAGAAGACATCTCGGCGATTCAGCGGCCAAAAAAGGGTGCATGGGCATGTGGATTTCAGAATTCATGGGTTGTGTGTGTTAGTAGCAGGGCTCAGCATGTTCTCTTCCCTTGAAGTTGACCCCCCCAAAACATGGTGTGAAAGAAGACGTTACGCCCTCACGCTTCGCTCTGGCTCTGATGTAGGGATGCAACTATAGGCGTGGGCCTGCGTAACCGCGTCTGTGCGCAGGCGTGGCCGCTCTATGTCTCACGTTGCTAGCAAGTAAATGTGTTTACTACCCTGTGTGCCCGTTGGTCAGGTACTGCTGCTGCGGCCAATGGGAGCGGAGAGTGACGACTACGAGTCGGTCACTGCAGAAGAAGAAGAAGAAGAACGGGATGCTTCGCCTCCGCCGCCTGCGGGCGTGACACCGAAGGCGAAAGCGATCATTCCACCCCGGGCTCCTTCTATGCCACCGCCTACGCATGGAGCGTATGTGAAGGCAGTGAAGGATGAAAAGCTTTCTTCTTCTCCTTCTGTTTCTCCAGCGCCTGCGCGGCGCCATCGACCACCGCGTGTGGACTCGGAGGCGGAATCCTCCTCGCCGCCTAAGCCGGCGTCAAGCCGACCGGGGCCAGCGAAGACCAGTCGGAAGTGGGTTGACAGGCCTACGTGTGACATCTGCTGGTTGCCGGTGAGTCCAAATCCATCTAGCATGGATCAACATCGGCGATGGAACCTGCAGTGCTTGCAGTGGCAGCAATGGAATACAGGACGCTGTGCGTCGTGGCAGGAGGCAGGGGACAAGGCCGTGAGGCAGAAAGCGCGACGAGAAGCGCGCGCAATTCGACAGCAAGCAGACGCGTATACAGGTGGAGGTGGCAAGGCCGTCGAGCCGCCGCAGCCGCCTGCTGTGCCTGCGGGGCACAAAGAACCGGACAGGGACCGGCGTCGCCGTCGCCATACGACGGATGAGAAGAAGAAAAAGAAGAAGAAACACCGCAGTGTGCGGGACCCAACTCCGGAGGTGGCGCGTCCGGAGCGTCATCGCCGCAGACGTCCGCCGTCCTCGGATTCCGAGGAGCCGCAGCCCAGGCGGTCGAAACGACCACGGCAGCTCATCATCACGCTGCCGCCGGATGTGCGCATCTGAGCTGCCTGGCTGCGTGCCGTGGCATGCCTAACCAGGTTTGAAGTCCTGGGGCCGCTTTTGAGGCGGATCCTTTTCTATCCGATCCTGCAATGTATCTGGCCGCGAGCCAGGGTGTCGGACACTCGACCGGGGGGGGTCGATCTTGGTGTTGCAATGCAAGTATAAGGTATGAAAAGGACGCCGTTGAAGGACTTGGGTCTGTCATTCGGCACATAAAATCATGCTTCAAAAGACTGTCTGCAAACAAATATCACCATCTACTGTTCCAAGCTGTTGCTTCTCTTCTGACAGACCCAAATGTGTCCGTCTGCACAGATGGCTACAAAAGGCCTTCTTATATGGACCAGCCTGTTGGACTGTTACCCGGCGTGTCACGTCAAAAAAGATGCTGGGGTTCTGGGGCTGGTGCATCCATGCAGGCAACAGGTTTAGAGAAGGTTTTCCGGGCAGGGTCACTGCAAGGGGGTCTCACATGGTAACGCAAATTGCGGCCGCAGCCATTTGGGTCCACAGGGAGTAGCTGAACTTTGCCTCTTGGCATGTCCAGCCCGACGGTGCCGGACTCGGGTGATTTCTATGTTCTCGAAGACGTCTGCGTGACGTTACACAGCTGTGCGGAGCGTCTAGAAGACAGCATAGATTGGCGCTGCGTTTTGAACGCATGCATTGCTGCGACGCAGAATCCGCACTTGGCTGAGGAGAAGCGGACGGTTTTGTACCGTCTCGCAGACCTCCTCTCGATTTCCGCGTCCCACACGTGGGAGATGCTCTCAGGTGTGGAAGGGGAGAGTGGCAGGACGCTGTATATTCCTTGCTACGTGCCGCCTCGATCGGAGACGGCCTGGGCCGACATGGGCATGCAACCGGAAGAAAATGCGCAAGAGTTTGGCAAGGCTGCCACGTATCTGCGTTTCTTCCAGACGGCTGTGCCCAACGATGGCCTCATGTTGCGATGTCACAGCTGGATCCACATCGCGCAGGAGTCCCTCTCTGTGGCGGGGCAGATGCTGCGCAGGGATTGGACAGCGGCGCCATCGTCCCTGGAGGCGGAAGTGGCCTAGATTCTCTCCGGACGCCGCTGAGTGCGGACTCGTGCGGATGAGTGCGGCTATCAGGGCACGTTTTGGACTTTGCGTGCGGATGCGTGCGAAACCAGGAGAATATCGTGGCCGGCAGTAGAAAAAGGTCGCGTGCGGATGAATGCGGGAAGATTTCATGGCCAAATTGGAAGGAAGATGCATGCGGATGAGTGCGGAGCACACTGTCAGTTGCATGTCCGGTTGAGTGCGAGATGAGGGCGGTTAAATGGCTGATGTCTGTTTTTTTTCACTTTTGGGGGTAACTTGCTTGCTGACCGTTGTGCTGTTGCAGGCTCCAGCTTTTTGCGACCGCAGCCATTTCCGGGTCCGACGCGTCCTCTCGCTTGGACTGCCATGGCGATGGTAGAGGTGCCTGATGAGGCCAATCACGCTTGCAAGGCGTGTGGCTATAGGTACCCGCTGAGTGCGGGGAGGGTGCACGGACGACACTTTCTGTGCCAGGGGTGTCATAACGTGCAAAATACCATCAGGCGAAATTTGGGTGACACAGAGGATGTGCAGAATTTTTCTGCAGAAGATTCTGTGGCCTTTTTCCGGTCTTTGCGGGACGCGCAGAAGACCGATGGTGGCAGCCTGACTTGGAAGACCATTCGCGCTGGGATGCTTTCCCGTTTGACGGAAGAGCATATATCCAAGTTCAGCGCCACGGTCTCGTTGCAGGAGCTCCCACTGTCCGTGTACACGGTGCAAGGATGGCCGGAGGAGGTCATTAAGAAGTTTCCGTGTGAGTACAGTGCGGAGTACGGATGCGACATCTACAAGGTACCAGTCCGCACCTTATCCTGGGAGGAAGCGTATCAAAAAGTCGAAGCCCGCATCTTAGAGAAGGAGCGTTTGGCCAGCCAGAAGAAACGCAAGACCGAAGAAGGCCTCGATGTGCCTGCGGCGCCGGAAGGCGATGACAAGGGTGCAAAGTCTGAAGCGAAGGCTGCGAGACAGGAGGCAGCGGCGACGAAGAAGACTTTGCAGAAGAATGATCGTGTGGCAAGCGCGGCAGCGAAGGCATTGGGGCCCTTGACCTCCTTGGAGACGTCCTTGCAGAAATGCATCAGCAAGGGGGAGGAAGCAGCAGAGAAGGATGCGGCTGCCTTGGCGATGTGCAAGGAACAGTTCGCGAAGGCAAACAGCTGGCGTGAGGCTGCTCGCGAGGCAGTGAACCGTCAGCAGGTGCTCCGTGGAAAGGAGGACCAGCAGGAGAAAGCCGAGGCATTGGCCCCGCTGCCATTCGATGGCGAGGAGATCAAGTGTTTTTTGAAGCAAAGCAATGAAGCGCAAAAGGCCTTGAAGCAAAGCTTTCCAAAGAAAGCGGCCAAGGCGAAGGCGGAGCCGAAGAAGCGAGCCGCTGCGGCAGCTGGTGAAGACGACAACAAATCGAAACGCCTGCGTGGCAAAAGCACGCCCAAGGGCGACTGATATGGATATATCTCGTGGCTTTCCACGAGGTGTGGCCGGAAGAGAATTCTCTGGCGGTAAATTCACCTCCTGCGCGGAGGTCGATAATCTCCTTTGCGGCTGCTTTTGACCTCATTGCGTAGATCTGGCTGCCTTGCGCGGGTCTATGTCAGATTGTTTTGACGTAAGAGGTTGTGACAAAGCACGAAAACTCCTGCTGGTGTGTCGCCGGCTTCGCGGCCCTTGCTGCCGTGTAGTCCTGGACATCGATCTGTGGTCTGCCCGAAAAAAAGGATCTGCCGCTTCTCAGTGAAGGTGTATGGGGTAAAATAGAATAATCAAAGTGTGTTCCTAAACGGATATATAGGCAAAACGGAAGAAACAAAGATGTCAAAACGCTAAGAGTCACAAAACACACGTAAGCCTTCCCCCAAAAACATTCTGAAGTCTCAACCTCTCATGTTCTGTCACGGTAATATGATGTTGTGTCTGCAGCCGTTTTGGCTAGGGGATTGGGTCGAAAGGGCGCCGTGAGATGAAACGGAGAAAGCTTGATCCGTTGGATACTCCCAAGGATCAGTTCACGGCCTTGCGTCAAATACCCTCTTTGACGCAATCTGAATGTCGTCAGGTCGTCGCCTTGCTGCATGACAATGAGGAAGGCGGGAGCACGTGCAAGCGATTAGAGCATGCGCATCCCTTGGCTCTTCCTTGCCTGCGGCAGATCATGGTGGCCAGAGATGGGCCGCCATTGCCAATTCATTGCATGTCTTTAGAAGCGCTCATTCAGGCAAAAACAGAGGTGTGTCCTCTGTTCGCGGCGTGCATGCAGCGCATGTACGACAAGTCTGGCGCTCAGCAACCCTTGATCATCTATGCGGATGATACGCATGGAGGCAATGTGCTGGCGGCTCCTGCGAGCCGTAAAAGCACATTGGTGTATGCTGCGTTCTTGAACTTCGAGTTCCTGCATTTGGAATCTCTGTGGATGACATTGAGCGTCATCAAAGCTGCTGACAATGAGACGTGCAGAGGAGGTTTTGCCTCCGTCTTGACGTCTTTGTTGTCGCATTACAAGGAAGAGACGCAGCACGGTTTGCCAGTGAGGATCGGTGCAGCGTTTGAGCTGCTGCTGATCCCGCACATTGTACTGTTATCAGATCACGAGGGGATCCGATCTGCGTTGGGGTGCAAAGGGGCCTCGGGCTTCAAACCTTGCATTAAATGTAGCAATGTCTTGATGTTACAGCGCGCAGAGGGTGTTCCGTCGCATGTCGACGTAAGCTGCTCGGATCCGGGCAAGTTTGTGCGGCAAACTCAAAGAGATGTGGATGAGATATTCGACATCTTACAGAGACAACCGACCCGGAAAAAACGGGAAGAGACGGAGGTGCTTTTAGGCTTCAAACTTTCGTCCCTTGCAGCATCTCCGTTGACACAGCGGAACTTGCGGGGATTCTTTAGTCTAGAACATGTCCAATTTGACTCTATGCACCACTTGTTTTCAAATGGGCTCGTGGCTCAAGAGTTGGGCCTGTGGTTCTCCCGTGCCCACCAAATAGCGGGAGTCACCGTGGAACACATGTCTTCGTACATGCGCATCGCATGGGCGCCACTGAAAGGAGGTCAAATTGATCCGCCGCGCGCGGATTTGCATTTTACCCCCAAGTTGTGGCGTCTCGACCAGGATTTTCGAGGTGACGCGCAAGCCTGCTTGGAGGTTCTGCCGCTTTGCATCGCCTATGGTGAAGACATGTTGCGCGGCAGGTATCCAGACATTGAGTCAGCGCTGGATTCCCTGCGAGGTTTGCATGCAGTGGTGCTTTGCATAAAAGCATGCAAAGACAGCTTGACGGCTGCGAGCCGATTGGTGTTTCTCCAGCGGGAACACATGCATCGATTCGTGGATGCATATTCGACTGGCGCGTGTCGCCCGAAGCTACACTATTCTTTGCATCTCGCAGAGCAGATGCAAGAACGTGGTCGGCCATTCGACGCATTTGTCTGTGAGCGTAAGCACAGACACTTCAAATCCATTTGCAATGGAAAGCTAAATCAACCTGGCAAAGCCAATTTCGCTCGCTCCGCTTTGCTAGAGTTGGTGTCGATGGAACTAGCAACGCCTCAAAGTGTCAGTAAGTTGGGAACGCAGTTGCAAGGCTCTGCGTCGAGCAGCTGCGCGCTGTCCAAGTTGATGGGATCCTGCAAGCCGGTGCAAGTGGCTTCTGCATTGGAACATCGTGGGATCCGCTATGGCAAAGGACAATTTTTCTTGCTGCCAAAACGCAAGGCCATGGAGGTTCTGAGCGCAGTTCAGGCTGGAGATACCTTTTTCCTCCTGGTGAACATGCTTCAACCCGTTGGTGACCAAAACCATCCTGGCCGAACGCAGTGGATGCGGACAGGGTCAGGACAAGGCAGTCAAGCGCTGCTCCCCGTCACTGACGCAACTAATTCGAATTGCTCCCAATGCATGTATGTTCGCCACGACAACACTACGTTGTGGCTCTTGCAATAACTCCCGCGAACGCGGCAGAGAAAAAGGTAAAATCTTAAGAAATTCTGTGGAAGCATATAAACAGAACAAATCCTCAAGATATTTCACAAGCCATGTCGAAAATGCATGAAATCTGTAGAAAACATGCTGAACGAGAATTTTGCAAAAAAACAACCTACGGAAGTTAATAAAGTTATTTTGAAGTTATTTCAGACGTTTTGAAACCCTCAACATAACTTCCATATAACTTCCCTAACTAACTTATAAGTTCCATAAGTTCCCGGCGGGTGCAAAGAATAGGATCGTTCCCTCACTGTAAATGGGATTGCAAGTAGTGCTGGTGGAGGAGTTGCCGATGGAATTCCATTGTGATTTGCAACTCTAGGATCGGTCCCTCACTGTAAATGGGATTGCAAGTGGTGCTGGTGGAGGAGTTGCCGATGGAGTTTTGGAGGAAGTCTCGCACGAAATGCGTTTTTGAGAGATAGCAGATGCACGAAACCCTATGTTTTTCCATACAAAGTCCGTCCCCGAACCTCGATGATCTACCTCTGCGGTGCGACGGTTGCGAGACGGTCTCGTGTGTGGTCGGATCATGGTCGGATCATTCTCGGATCATGGTCGGATCATGCTCGGATCGGTTCCGCATTGTAAATGGGGTTTCAAGTGTTTTTCGTGCATGTGCGGTCGACAGAATTCCATTGTGATTTGCAACTGTAGGATCGTTCCCGCAATGTAAATGGGATTGCAAGTGGTGCTGGTGGATGAGTTGCCGATGGAGTTTTGAAGGAAGTCTCGCACGAATTGCGTTTTTTTCTCCACTTTGGCGCTAGTGATTTTCCTTTTAAAAATCCTTTTAAAAAGTGCTTCAAAATCGTCTTTTTTCGCTCTGGCGTCGAGATCCCGGTTTTGGAGCTACAATTTCCGACGCCGTTGCGCGTAGTTCTATTGTGCTTTGCAACTCAGTCTCCACAGATCGCATTGTAATGGCTGCGTGAAGGTTGCTTCATGCTGTGGCTGCATGCGTAATACTATTGTCTTTTGCAGCTGGACTTCGTAAATCGTATTGGAGTGGCTGCATGAAGGCTGCGACAGTGATTTGTTAGCAGATTTTCTCCATTTTGGCGCTAGTGATTTTCCTTCTAAAAATCCTTTTAAAAAGTGCTTCAAAATCGTCTTTTTTTCGCTCTGGCGTCGAGATCCGGTTTTGGAGCTACAATTTCCGACGCCATTGCGCCGAGTTCTCTTGTGTTTTGCAACTCAGTCTCCGCAGATCGCATTGGAATGGCTGCGTCAAGGTTGCTTCTTGCTTTGGCTGCATGCGTAATGTCTTTTGCAGCTGGATCTCGTAAATCGTCTTGGACTGGCTGCATGAAGGCTGCGAAATGGATTTGTTAGCAGATTTTCTCCATTTTGGCGCTAGTGTTTTTTGGTTGCACGTAGGTTTAGAGCAGTGTGAAGTGTGGGGCGTGAAGACTGCAGTGTGAAGTGTGCAGTGTGAAGGAAGCAGTGGGAAGTGAGAAGTGTGAAGTGTGGAGCGTGAAGTTTAAGTTTGGAGTGCGAAGAGCGCAGTGTGAAGTGTGAAGTGTGAAGTGTGAGGTTTGGAGTGTGAAGGAAGCAGTGAGAAGTGAGAAGTGTGAAGTCTGAAGTGGGAAGTGTGGAGTGTGAAAAGTGTGGTGTGAAGTGTGGAGTGTGAAGTTTCAGTTTGGAGTGCGAAGAGCGCAGTGTGAAGTGTGAAGTGTGAAGTGTGAGGTTTGGAGTGTGAAGGAAGCAGTGAGAAGTGAGAAGTGTGAAGTGTGAAGTTTGGAGTGTGAAGTTTGAAGTTTGGAGTGCGAAGAGTGCAGTGTGAAGTGTGGAGTGTGGAGTGTGAAGACTTTGCTTCGTCTCTCGCTGAAAAAATCAAACGGTTGTCGAGGGAAGGACACGGTCAGGACAGGGTGTCTTTGAACTATAGGTCATTTATGTTTGGGAAACTTCCGCCGCCGGCTTGCCCGGGTCTATGTTAAATGTTCTACTTGTATGGTTCAACCTTGTTTTTCATATAGGAATAATCTTGGGATAGTCAGACGGGAAATGTCAGGAGTACAGTCGGTGGTGCCCTGAAGTCACGAGTTGTCGCGTCTTGTTGGGATCTACACAACTCCCGATTGTTTTTCATGTTTGGGTTTATGGTACCCTCTGGTAAACTAACATAACCATGGAAAATCACCATTTTCAATGGGAAAATCCACTATAAATCACAATTTTCAATAGCTATGTTAAATTGCCAGAGGGTAGATCGAACTCATTAACGGTGGTTTTTGGTTCATCGAACTCATGAAAATGGTGGTCATAAACCAACAAAAATTCTCTCGTCACCTGCTGAGTCGGCTGGGTTAGTTGCAAAAACACAAAATTTTCTTTAATCAGAGAAAAAGAGGCATAAGGTGCATTATTAGTGAACAAGAGTAAGAGTAATAATTAATTTAATTATTTTTATCAACATTATTACAATGTGAGGCCCCCCAGTTATAAGTTGGTTTATAAGCCCCAGTAACTGTAGTTATAAGTACCATAAACCATAGTTATTGGAGTTATAAACCAACTTAGCTATCTTGGGGGCCTCACATTGTAGGTTGTGTATCATGAATAGTTTTCAAGGTGAAATCCCCGTCAACTCCACCCTTTCGTTAGTTGGACGTAACTGTCCAGTGAAATCACCTTGCAGAAAGTCTGGTTGGATCTCCATTGGAATCACCATTGGAATCAATGGCCATGCAATAGGAACCGAATTATTGGAGGTACCGATTCCATATATGTTTGGCCTATATTTTAGGCCTAAATTTCAATATCCCCACAAAAGATGGCCAAAAATATGGTACGTTTACGTACCTCCATTTTAGGATCCTGAAGATCTCCCATTGATTGGAATCACCACTTTTCATCCCCATTGATCCCTATGAAATCACCATTTTTCATGGCTTTTCAGCCCATTTTTAATATGTTTTCACCTTAGTCCTGCACCAATTGGTTGAATCCACAAATCGAAAACACGAGGAGACTACGGCTGGGAATAACTCCAGCGGTCTGTCCGGAGTCTCGGAGATTTGTTCGAGACAACATGGGGATAGCAAGGGATAACTGATTTTCGATGTGTGGCCTGAGGATTTTAGAGATTTTAGAGATTTTAGATGATTTTAGATGATTTTAGATGATTTTAGATGATTTTAGATGATTTTAGATGATTGCACATGATTTTGGATGAATTTAGATGATTTAAGAACAAAGACCTTGTGATTTTTTGATTTTAGATCAAGATTCAACGAAAAAGAAACTGTTCTGGAAAGGCTTGAAGAGTGTAGATCACTGCCAGGGTTCAAAAAAGTTTGGAACGTCACTTAGAGGGGACTATGGAATCATGGCTAAGCAATGCACCTTACTACACTTCTACAAGGTGGGACCACAAAGTTATTTGGGGTGTCTAGATTCATCTAATTTAACGATATATCCACCATAAATCCAGGTTAACTTAGTCAATTACCATATTAATTAATAACTAATTTAAATTGTTATATAAGTACAATAACCAGAAACGTGTGCAAACCCCAACTATTTTCCAGTTTAGCTAACTATGGGTCACAAAGACCAGGCTGACCAATGTGCAAAAATACTCCGTAGAATGTGATGGAGTTGTTGTCGATTCCGGATTGAATAGGATAGATTACTCTCAAACTGTAAGATATTTTGAATTATGTTTGATGATAATAATCCGTTGTTCAAACTAAAACCTTCTCATGAAACCAAGGGTTATTAATCTCGAGTTGATATGATTCAATTCTATTTCGATTGCATAATATTTACATATATATATATGGGGGTTTCCATAAATGGTGGTACCCCAAAATAGATGGTTTACAATGGAAAATCCCAATCCAAAATGGATGATTTGGGGGTAGCCCTATTTTAGGAAACCACCACAAAAAACACATATGATATGTGGTTAGTATGTTGTTCCATTTTTTAGGCTTGTTTTAGAGGAACCATCCCAAGCATTGAACAAGTTGAACAAGTTCCCAGGTGTGGCTGGTCACAATTGTTTCCTGCAAATATTCCTCTGAGAATTATCCTTTTAATAGATCCACAATCATCCTAAATAGGAGAAAATTATGGTAAAATTATGGTAAAAGCATGTAAAATTCTTTTTGCTTGTCCGAAAATAGGAGAAAATGATGGTGTTTGCCATGGTAAACCATCCTGAGACGCCACTCTGACGCAGGGACCGCAAAGTGGTGATTCGCAAAATCACCACCTGTGTCACTGGGCGCAAACGGGGATGAAATCTCGATTGGGGGTGTTGTATTTTCAATCATAGGATGAGCCCCAAAAAAGCGAAATACCCTCTGGTAAACTAACAGAGCTATTGAAAATGACCAGTTATAGTTGATCTACCCATTGAACATTGTGATTTTCCATTGTTATGTTAGTTTACCAGAGGGTAATATTGTTTTCTTCTGGGTATTGACCACCTTTGTGTAGGTCTTCGTTGACATATCATTGTGGTTCTAATTCGTATGCCAACTACTCCAACTGAGACTTTCATGTTGGTTCGACCTTAATGATGACCACCGGGATGAAGATGGGAGACCCCATAATCATCCAATCAATGCTGGTTGGTGGTTTGGATATAAGTCTACCTATAGGTTATGTAGTCCACTTATACTCATAGTATATATATATATACTGGTTGGTGGTTTGGAACATTACCTTTATTTTCCATTTCATATATGGGATGTCATCCTTCCCATTGACGAACTCCATGATTTTTCAAGATGGTGAAATTGCACCACCAACCAGAATGGAATGCATGGAATGATGTTAATTTTTGCAGGGGAATCATCCCCTGCCCAAATGGTGCCAAGTTTCAGCTATTTTCGGCAAGATCTTTGATGGGAAGGTTGTGACCGTCAGGGTGTTCAAGACGGCCTCGTCTTGGGGGATTCGGCATACCTCGGGACGGCCAACTCGGTTACGTCGGCCTGTGG